AGCACACACACACACACACACACACACACACACACACACACACACACACACACACACACATACATACATACATACAAAGGGGTGCTCACCTTGCCGGACTTGACTTTTGTCATGAGGTCGATGTATTCGTTGCGGCCGATGCCGAGGATCTGCAGCCCTGAGAGGAAGGCGACGCAGCAAACGCGCGTGAGAACGAACCGCTGCTGCATCGGGTTGGCGGTTGTCGCACGCACACCCCCCCCCCCCCCACACACGCTCCAACACAATACACACACACCAGCACATACAAACACACGTACACACAAAAGTACACGCACACACACGCACACACACACGCACGCGCGCGCATGATAACCACTCCTTTCCAACCATCTGAGGCGGTGAAGTTGGGAAGCGCGTCGTAGCTTCGGTCTGATTCCAGCATATGAGAGAAGATGTCAAAGTAATACTGGAACGCCGTTGTCTTGCACTTGAGCACCATCACGTCCGCCAGGTGATACGGGTACAGCTGACAATAACGACCGGGTGCAGAAACAGTGAAGGAGTTGGCCAAACAACACCAACCAAACGAACAAGCGGGCACACGTGGATGTGGATGAGAGGACTAGCCGAAATCACCAGCAGCAAACCACGCATGCAAAAGAACACACGCACGCGTGCACATGCACAAACGCACGCACGCGCGCGCGCACACACGCACACACGCAAACAAACAAACACAAACGTGTGTCAGCACACCATAAAGTGTTCCTTGCTGTACTGGAGAAGTCGCTGGTAGTAGCCCATGTCATCCGAGAGGATCTTGGACACTAATCACACAATATACAACGGTCACCCACACCAGCAGCGCGAAACCATCATCGTTGAGTTGGCGTTGTTCAAACAAAAACGGAAAGCTGCAGCCACAAACATACAGGTGCGTTCCGCAGCGCGCGCGGGGCAAATTGCCTCACCCAGGGATCGCTTGAACCGAAGCTGGTGAGACAATGCGTATTCCAATGCGGCTTTCTTCCACTCGGTCTTTGTGCCGAATCGCTGCAAGCGTCGTTCCAATCGTCGAGTCGAATACACAAGCCAATCAACAAGTTGAAGGCACAAGCCAAGCAAGCCAAGCAAGCCAAGCAAGGTGTGATATGCCGCTGTATGCAGTTCGTTCACGATCAATGAACAGGACCGAGAACAACACGCACAACACAACGCGCGACGTCATTCACAGCTCCAAATGACCAGAACTCACCCTGCGAACGTCTGGCGGCAGCTGCTCAAACTCCATTCCCATCGCTATCCACTGGTCCACATCGTGGCTGTGGTGGTGCTCGTCTTGCTCCATCATCCGCTGTTTGTCTTGTTCTTGCTGACTGTCGAAAATTTATTGAAGATGCACATCAATGTTCATAGACCCCCTTTCAGTCACCTTGCCTAGCTAGCGTTCTTAGCGTTGGCCTGGTGGTGACGTCAGCAGCAGGCGGGATTGTCTCGGCCTATTTCATACCACGGCACACACAACACGCAGTATACTTTCTGGGTTGCCACAGCGTGTCTTATCATTTTTCACTCGTACGCTCTTACGCTGAGCAAAGGCCTCACTTTACGCACACACACAGACAGACAGACAGACGTACTTCTCCACCTTGACCTTCCTTCGTCCTCCAGTACCAAGAATCAACACACGCACACACACACACACACACTCTCTCTCTTCTGCCCTCTCTTTCGCACTCAAGCACACGGGAGCATGCCCTTGGCATGCCTCTGTGGCACACTTGGTGCCCATCACTCAGGGTTGCTGATCGCACTCCTGGTTCTGGCCTTCAGCAGCAGCTCAACACAGCTAACGCGTGCGGCCGTGTTGAACAACTACGATGCGCCTCTGTACCTGTCTTGCCCGGGAAATCAAGGAATCGTCAGCGTGGCTTCGTGGCACAGCAACCACGCTGGTATGCATCGATCGGCTTGCTCTTCTGAAAACGCGCATCCTCATTCAAGTCGTGCGGTTGTTGTACCTGTTCGATTACGCTTCACCTCTGTGGCTCTGCGCAAGTGAACACGACAACAAAACAAACAATGTTGCTCTTGCCCGCCTTGCTCACATCAACACACGCACACGCATACACACACACACACACATTCACAAACACACACACACATACACAAACACATACAAACAAACACACGCACACACACACACACACTGTGCTCCTTGCTCTTCTTCTTTTCACCTGGACTGTGTTCTCCTTCTCAGAGGATCGCGTATGGTCGTTCGGTTGTGCCAAGGTCGGGTATTCTTTGTCCGGCTACACGTGGACGGGCTACTTGAACAATTTGGATGGACCCCTGAGCTACTCCTGTGGTGGCAACCGGGGTACGTCCACGTGCGCTTCGTCGCTGACGCGTGCAAGAGATCTCGCGTGTCAAAAGTGTGCTCGTGTTCATGGTGTTCGTAGGCTCGAGAGTCCGCTGCTTGCGCATTGGCACAAACCCACCAACAATGCCTTTGTGTAATGTAGGCCCATCCTGCTTCAACAACGAACCCCTTCTTGCGCTCTCCACTCAATATGGCCACCTGTAGTGATAACTGGCATCAAATCGTACCATGACGACGGGACGGAGGACCGAGTATGGGCGGTTCAATGCGGTGACCTCAATGGAGCCACACTCACCAACTGCGCCTTTGGACCCCAAGCCAACGGATACGACGCTCCCATCGATGTGAAGGCTGGCGACTACTCCGTCATCACAGGTGCGCCAATGCCAGCCAGATGGTCCCTGGTCCCAAGGAAAGATAAAGAGAGGCGAGGGGTGCGTGTCGCATGCGTGAGCGTGGGTGGCCGTGAATGACATGAGGGCAAAGAGAGGCACTTTCTGATTCATACACACGCTCACTCCTGCCCCTGCGCTGCATTCTTGTTTTCATCCACATCCGCGTCATGGTTGCCACTGATTAGGCATTCAGAGCACACACGACAATGGCGCAGTGAGTCAACGGTGATGATGGTGATGCCAGTTGTGGTGATGCACTTTCTGCTGATGCTTTGTTCCGGCCCTTTTCTCTTGCCGTCGTCACTGAGGGTGTGTTCCTTTTCTCCCTCCCTCCCTCCATCCTTCCCTCCCTGCCTCACTCGCACACAATACGTCCACCCTTGCCATTGTGTCAAACTTAGGGTAAGGTACCAGTCACGACCTGAATACTGCGCCGACATGAACAACTCGACGCAACAATCAAACACCCCCCCACACACACAGAACACACAGAGCGTGGTTGTTGCAGCACTCATGTCCACGATCCTGCACTCGATTAATGGTCGTCACCTCCACTGCATTCATTCATGCCCGGACTTCGCGAACAAATAGAGGATCGCGTGTGGTCGTACCAGACGTGCCGCGTACGTGCCGTGATGCTCCAGATCCCAACCTGTCATTCTGCGACTTGCTGAGCTGACACAAGTTGTGGTTGCCTTGTCAGTGTGACTCGGTTGTCAGGCCTCTTTCACCATCGCTTCCTCACATATCACGTTTCTTCTTACCCGCGCTTCCTCGGGACCTGCAGGTCAGCTGCAACCGAGACCAAGGGTACAGCACAAACGGTCGATCATGCGAAGGTATGCTGTAGTCAAGGCTGCCTCGCATGTGTGAAAGTGAAGGATGCGAACGCGCTGCAGCCCACAATGGCCAGATTGGATCCACAAAGGCACCTTGATTCCCTTTGACTCCTTTCAACATTCGCAAACTGTGTTTCCCTGTTTGACAGGCCAATCCTGCGGAGCGCTCTCGATCGCCAACGGCGTCGTGGAAGGCAGCTGCGGAGGGACCTTCGGTACGACACTGTGTAACCTGCATATTAACTCCGTCGCATCGCAGCGCACAGAGTCATATGTGCCATATGTGCTCAACGCATTTTACGCCAGGGAGACGAAGCAACTTGCCTGTGCTTCTCAGGCCCCACTCATCCCCTCCCTACCCGTGGCAGCTCACAACATGCCATCCCACCATACAATCACAACATATGATCGACAGGTGATGTGTGCAAGTTCAAGGAGTGCAACCCGGGTTACGAAGCCTCCGTGTTTGGTGTCATTTCACGAAAATGCGACTGGGTTGGAAACGGGCTTGGCTGGAGCAACGTTGGAAAGGAATGCCTCGGTATGAGTAGTGCACAGGTCTTGACTGCTTGCTTGTGCCAGTTCTCTTGTGGGCTTGTCGATGACATCTTGCACTTGGCCGTGGCTGTCCACAGCTGGAATCACGGCGCAACCACTCTTAAGACACTCACACACACACATCATGCTAACCACATGCACACACACGTCAACTACAAACAAACTCACACACACACACACACTCGTTACACACCACACACAGACATTGATGAGTGCCTGACCGGCGACAATGTGTGTTATCCCGGCTCCGTGTGTATCAACACGCAGGGGTCGTACTACTGCGAGTGCGAGTTTGGAGTTCAACAAGGAGAGAGTTGCTTCGGTACGTTGTACACGATCGCGTGTGTGCATGGGCGTCTGCAGTGCGGAATACTGCTTCTGAGCCTTGAGCAAGTGGCATCCTCATCTCATGTGCACATCACGCGATTGCTCATGTGGCTCTCATTGCGACTGCAGTTGCAATTCCGACCATCACGCTTGATCTCGGCCTCACTGAGATGACCATCAACATCAATGGCGAGTGGGGCAACACCTTCCCCAAGTACAGGGTAAGTTGGTGGCATGAGGGTGGCAAATGCGTGGTTGCTTGATCACTGGGGTTGAGTCGAAGCAAGTTTTGGGGGTGGTCGCTGTACTCCTGGAACCATACGGTTCCTCACGCACACCCACCCGCACACCCACCCACCCACCCACACACCCACCACCACACACACACACACACACACACACACACACACACACACACACACACACACACACACACACACACACACACACACACACACACACACACACACACACACTTACAATGATCGGCTGTCACAGGTGTCCGTTGCGCGGTGGTCGTATGATTTGGCGGCCAAAGAAGACATTCCCGGGTTCCCAAAGACCATCTTCAAGCCGTTCACCAGCCACCGCGTCATCAACCTTGAGGCCGGTTCCCGCTTCAGGGTGAGTTTGTTTGCTTGAGTATTCATTTGTGTTTGTGTTTCTGTATGTGAGCGCTCGTGCGTGAACACGTGTGAATGATTGACACCAGCATGTCTCCTCCTCAAATCTGCTACCATCACCGTTCCTCTGACACACACACACACACACACACACACACACACACACACAATGCCACCCGGTTCACTTCATCGAACAACCAAACAGGTGACACTGACTCCAGTTGATCACAAGGACGAAGAGATCCCATACTTTTCTCAGTTGGCGCTGACGCCCGAAGGCAACGATCCTCAGACCATCTGCGGTTGTATTCCCGAGGACCCAACAGGTGCACCCACCGACTTTACTCTCAAGCAGTTCAAAGGGCACGTGCTGTTCCGCTGGGCGGATCAGAGCCAGTGCGAGTCTGCGTTCTCCTTCACGCGCAACGGCGTTGGCCTGACGTCGCGGTTCCCCGTCACGGAGCAGCTGGCGTGCGGCGCCATCCAGGAGCCAAACACCGTCTACGACGACCTCACCATCCAGTCGGCTGGCGACTACGCCGAAGTGGACGAGGCCCTCAACTACTTGCTGCCAGAAGGTGTGTTGTGATGCACGTAGCAAATGCATGATGTGATGTTTCGTTGACATTGGTCACCGCGTTGCATCTTGTTGTCGTATGCATCCTTCGCTTCCCATCGTCAGTGCTCATGCTCATCATACCAACACACACACACACATACACACACACACACACACACACACACACACACGCACACACACGCACACACAACACGTAGGCGAGTTTTACCTGCGCCGTTTCCTGGCCGTGGACACGGGCGACACACGCTTCATGTATCCGCACGAACTGCAACGCCAGAGTAAGTTCGACGAGACGTGTGGCAGCTGTGGGAATCGGTGCTTGGGCTTGCAGACACAGGCGTGATCTTCCTGTGATGTCTGATTCCACCACTGCTCGTGTTCAATTCAAGTGGTTGTACTTCCCACGCACACGCACACACACACGCACACACTCACACTCACACTCATGTCACACACATGCACACACACACTCACACGATGAAGAAACGCACTTCTCGTCGACGAGCACGACCACGACGGCTGCGCCACAGGGTGTGCCTGATGATGAGAACCGCTACTATCCCGGCACTTCCTCACCCGTCGCGTCGGTGTCGGAGTGTAAGGACCTGTGCGATATCCGTTCAGCCTGGTGCATCGCCTTTGTTGTGCAGACCAAGAGCGACGACACATTGGTGTGTCACCAACTGCGTGTCATCGAGACTGCAACGCTGCGTGCAGGCGAGAAGAAAGCCGTCTCCTTTGAACGCGTGACTGTCACCGGCACCGGCGTTGACGGGTCGTACATCTTCGACGGCACGCAGGACGACTGCGAGGAGGCGTGCTCGGCCCACGGCTCGTGTGATATGACCATGGTGGCTGCTGGCGTGTGCGCAGTTGTCGTCGACGCTGTCGAGACAGAGACGCCACTCACCCAATCTGTGCATCCTGACATTGACCCGACATTCTCTCGCCGCATCCCTGGTCCTGAGCCCGGCACCACGCAGGAGTACTGCATCGAGGCAAACAAGCCCCAATGGTACGACCTTCAGGGCTACTCCTCAGACCCCACTTGCACCAGCTTCACAATCATGGTGAGTGCGTGTGTGTGCATGTGCATGTGTGTTCTTTGTGTGCGTATGTACGTGTGTGTGTGCATTGTTTGGCCTTTTGGCGTCGTCTTCGTGTCGTGTGACTTTGTCTGCCTCTTGCTTGTTGCTTGGTTGCTCTCGTCACCGCTGCGTGAACTTATCACGTCCACCTTGTCCACGTCCCCTCACATCCATCCATCCTGTCATCACTTGGTACAGTGGGAGAGCCAACTTGAGGGCCAGATTGCCATCGACTCCAAGGAAATCCACCTCCCCGTGGAAGGCGTCGAGGTCGAGTTTGAAATTGGCGGACTGGTGCGTGGGCGTCGCATCACTAACGAAGATGGAAAGTTCTCCATCCACATCCTCTCGGACAAGCTGGTTGGCAGCCGCCACCGCATGACGCTCCGCTTCTCTAAGACCACGGGCAACATCAAGCACACCTTCACCTGCGGCGGTATCGCTTGCACGGAGAGCACGCTCATCATGGAGCATCTTCGCTTCGACCACACAGTCAACGTGCGTGATACGACCTCCCTCCCCTTCAGTGGCATCGTCTCCATTGGCGGTACGGAGCACGAGGGCCTTCCTGACGGCTGCCCGCTCAAGGACGTCGAGGTGTGCCTGTACGACCGCAACCAGGCCAACACCCTCATCAATTGCGATGTGACAGACTCCAAGGGCCGCTACCTCGTGCGCGCTGTTCTCGGCACATCTGTCACCGTCAGCCTTGCGTACGGCAACTCGTCGCACACCTTTGAGCGCGTCACCTACGACCAGGACGCAGCCAACGCCCCTTCGGGCATCCTGCAGACCATCAATGCTCTGAATTCGCTCGAGCGCACACCATACTACGACGTGACGGACGGCAAGTTCTGGGAGAACATCAACTTCAAGGACACAATGTCTGACAGGGCGACAGTCGACATTGCTGGCGGGCTGTGTAACCTAAACCTCGGCGACGCGGTGATCGAGTTCCGGTACGACATGTGCCCAACATGGGTGAAATCACGCACCATCTCTGACCGGCTGTCCAAGTGGACGCTGCCAGCGCAAATCATCACGGTGCGCTTCAAGGAGATTACGCGCAACTACGAGGTTCGTGGCGAGATTACGCGCTACTTCTCGGCCAAGCTGGGCAACTCGCGGTCGCTGTACTTGGACCTGCGCAACCCGCAGGAGGACGACGAGGACAAGAAGACGGTGCGATTCGAGTACCACCCGCCACCGCAGCTGAGCGTTGAGTTTGACAAGGAGGAGAAGCACAACTGTAACAGCACAGAGGGCGATCGCCCGCTGCACGTCATCAAGCAGAACGTGGAGCTGAAGGCGACCGTCAAGGTGATTGAGGACTACGGCGAAGGCGTGGGCACGTGCGATGCAGTGCCTGGCCAGATTGAGGTTGAGAACCAGTTGGGCGAGTCGCCAGCCATCGTGGACGTGCTGAACGCCTCCACCTCCCTCACGGACAAGCAGCTGAACAAGTTGAAGTTGTGCTACGACACGTGCCTCATGGACGTGAAGATGGACGAGGAGCTGCAGGACGGCGAGACCGTGTACTCGAACACGCGCATTGAGCTGAGCATCATGACGGGTGAGCCAGAGACCAACCCACAGGCCGTCGACCCGGAGAATCCGTACTCCAAGCTCTTCCGCGTCACCATGCACAACCTCCCACAGGACCCCGTCACTGTGTACGAGAAGGTGGTGGTGATTGGCGACAAGGTCATCTCCAAGTTCTTCAGTGTGCCCTTCCCGCGCTATCAGCCGCTTGCAGTGGTGCAGGACCCGCCTGGTGGCCTGTCCACTGTCACGTACTCCAAGGCGTACAGCAACTACTTTATGAAGAGCCACACGCACGAGGAGTACCATGGGTTCTACTTCACCACGGGGCTTGCTCCCGTCAAGGTGGAGACGGGCGTGGAGCAGTGCGCCGGTCTTGGTGCTGCCGTGTGTACCAAGGTGGCGGACACGGAATCCACCCCATTCAAGATCAGCGTTGACCAAACTCATGTAAGCGATTGTGTGTTGTGTGTGTGCGGCATTGTTTGCGTGTGTATATCGCATTGTTTGCGTGATTGTGTGTGTACACTTGCGTTTGTGCAATCCTTGTGCGCGCAGCTTTTCTGAAGCGTGTCATGACCTTGCCTTTCACGCTCTTCTCGACCTCACCCGCTCACAAACGCTCTCACACTCCTACTTTGCTGCCCCTGCTTGTCTCTTCTTTACTCCACCAGACTTTTGGCAGCATGGATCCCGACGACAACTACAACTCTGAGCGCGTGTGGTCGTTTGCAATTGAGCTGACGACGTCCGATGACGTGATGACAGCTGGCGAGAAGTCGGACATGTTCCTCGTGCCCGCCCTCAACGTGGTGTGGCTGGAGACGGAGGAGGTCTCGTTCGACGCGGAGCAGTGCCAGGCGGCCAAGGAGACCAAGGTCAAGTGGAGCCTCGAGGGTCAGGAAAATAGAGAGGTGCTCAGCTGGGTGTCTGCGTTTGAGATTGAGAACAAGGAACTGCCAGACCTGCGCAAGCTGCTCGCTCTCGCCGAACAGCCGCCAGGTGATGACGACGACGAGACGGAGGAGGACAGAGAGGAGAAGATTGCTGAACTGAAGCGCGCGATCAAGGCGTGGGAGAGCAACCTGGACCGCAACAAGGAAGTGCGGCAGAAGGCGGCAGACGGGCTGCTCGACCCAGTGCAGAACATGTGGGCAAAGGGTAACGCCGAGTTTGACTGCTTGCCGAGCATTGCGCCCAACAAGGACCCGAAGAAGGCGGCCAAGATTGAAGGCCAACTTTCCAAGACGGAGGTGTGCAACGGCTTTGACGTGGGTCGCATTGCCGACAAGGCGAAGAAGGGCATCTCGCTCGCCCCACACGACGACATTGACAATGCAAAGGACTTGGACGGCCTTGCCGCGTCAGACCAGGACAAGCAAGACCTGCGCAACATCGACACGATCAAGTTCTCTGGCGGCGGGTCCACGTACACGTTTGAGTACGACCTGTCACGCGGCGACAGCGTGGTTGGCGGCAATTCGCGAACGCACGAGGTGTCAGTCGGTGTGGACGTCAACTTTGGGTTCAAGGTGTTCGGTGTGGGCATGAGCTTTGAGCTGTCCACGGGCTACAACTACGAAGGCACGGTTGCTGACGAGTATGAGGCTGGTGTTTCGACAGAGGGCACCCTTTCCGTGACGCTCGGTGACCCGGACCCATTTGACGTCTTTGACGTCGGCATCTTCCTCCACCCCGACTACGGCACGTTTGTCTTCGCCACCTTCTCGGGTCAGTCGTCCTGCCCGCACGAGCCCAACACTGTGCAGCTGGAACAGCCTGGAATCAACGTGCTGAAGCGGCCAGAGGCGCCCGTGCTGCCCGGCGAACCCGCCGTGTTTGAGCTCCTGCTCAAGAACGACGGACCCATGACTTCCGACTTTAACGTGAGTGTGGTCGCGTGATTGCGGTGGTTGTTGTTGTGTGGTTGTGTTTGCGATTGTGTGTGTGTGTGTGTTTGGACTTGCATTGCATGCTTGCATTGTGGAGATTCTTGTCTTGGTATGGTCAGCAAGAGTTGGGCAGACACGTGTCCTGCACGTTCCCACACATGTGCACTTTGTTCTCACAATCATCTTGTCTAACCTTCTCCACTCCTCCGAACTCCGGTCCCCGTCCCGCCCCACAACGTGCGCAGCTGTTCTATCTGTCGTGGCTGAACCAAGATGGGCTTGAAGTTGTAGCCAACGGACAGGCGCTGGAGACGGCACTCATCTTTGAAGGCTTCCCCGCCAACTCGGCAAGGTACATCACCATCACCGTGAACCAGGGCCCAAGCAAGTTCAAGTACGACCCTGTTGCCATTGGCTGGCGGTCGCTGTGTGAGGCCGACAGGCACCCCGACAACGGCTACATCACGGACGAGGTGACGAGCGTGGAGTACGTGTACTTGGAGGCCGAGTTCCTGCAGCCGTGCAGCCCCGTGAAGCTCGTTGGAGAGATTGGCGAGTCTGGCGCGTTCACCCTCAACCAGGAGACGATGGAGCAGGACTACAAGCCTGGCCAGATCCGCGTTGTCGCCTTCAACCCGGACCACGCCGAGCGCACGTGGCTGGAGGACGATCGCCTGGAGAAGGTCGTCATTGAGTTCAAGCCCGCCAACTCGTACATCTGGCTGCTGGCCCGCGACGAGAACGGGGATGCGTTGGACATTCGCGAGCGCGAGAACGAGTACGGCTACATCACGGCGTGGTGGGACGCGTCCACGCTGCTTGAGGGCGACTATCACCTCCGCATCCGCGCGCAGTGCCAGGCGTCCATCAACGAGATGCCGGATGGCATTGACGAGAAGCTGTCGTCCGTTGCGCTTGGTGTCGTTGATCGCGACCCACCGGTCGTGTTTGGATTCCCGGAGCCCGCGGATGGCGAGTTCTTCCCTGGCGACGAGATCTCGTTCCAGTTCAACGAGGACGTGGAGTGCCGGCAGCCGTTCATCTTCCAGGTGTCGTTGACGGTGGAGGACTACGACCGCGACTTCAACAACAACAACATGGTGATTGTGTGCGAGGGCCGCAAGATCTCCATGTCCCTTCGCCGCGGGTTCCGCTACGACGAGGTCAACGGCCTCTCCGCCACAGTCGTCATCGAGAACGTCAAGGACCTCAACGACAACCAAATGGAGTTCCCGCCCGAGCACACGTTCACATTTGCAGAGCTGAACCTGGCGGATGCCAGCGTCACGCTGAGCGGCCTCGTCGTCAACGTCCCATATCAGGACGTGTATGCCGACACGACGTCGCAGGAGTATGCAGACTTTGCTGGCGTGCTGCAGACGGAGCTGGCCACTGTTGTGGACACGGACCCGTCACGTGTGACCATCACGGGCATCTCTCCCGTCGACGCGACCAACTACAACTCTGGCATCACCGTCTCGCTCCGTTTTACGCCTGAAGGAACAGACACAGCAGCTACTGGCCGTCGCCGTCGTGCTACCACTTCGACTGCCACGGATCTTGCCAGCCTGCTGCAGAGCCGGTTGCAGAACGCCACGTACACGGAATCGCTCTCTGTCCTCAACTCTGCCTCGCTGGACGAGGCAGCGACAGTTGATGTAGAGCCGTCTGCGACTGACACGGCACAGAACGACGCAGCAAGCGCCAACACTGGCGCAACTGTCTCTCCTTCAGCCACAACTTCATCCTCCGTGAGCAAATGGACGGACATCAAGCTGGGTACGTGGATAACCGTTGTAGGCACTTGTATGTGTGTGCGTGTGTGCGTATGTGTATGAGAATGTGTGGGCGTACGTAACGTACGTGCTTACGTGTGCGCAAATGTGTATGAGTATGTGTGTGGCCTTGGCGTGGCATGCGATACCTGCCAACGTGCTTGCGATGCACTGCAGCCGTACCCAATTTGTGTTGTTGCGTTGAAGCGGCCTCCACGAATTCACCATGACATGCTGTTGCTTGACCCGGCAGATGTGGCGATTGTGTTGCTGGTGTGCCTGCTTGTGCTGGCAATCATCTCCCTTGTGAAAGACAAGGTCAAGAAGCAAACAGCCGACAAGGAAGTTGACCAACCCTTTCGCTCCCTGAGCTTCTTCCGGCGACCACAGCGCAGTTCTCGAGTTGCCCCTTTCTCTGTTTCCGAGTCTGATGTGTGATCACCGTGTGTACGTGCGCGCATGTGTGCGCGTGTGCGTGAGTCAGTGAGTGTGTCAGTGTGTGAAAGTGTATGCATGTGCGTATGTGTGTGTGTGTGTGTGACGGGGAGGGATACACCCCGAAAATCAAGCTTTCAATGCTTAAAGTTCATGGTTGATGTGGTTCATCGTTGGGTGTGTCCGACAATGTATGATACATGTGACGGACGTCACATTGATAGTAACAGCATTGGTTCTCGAATGTCGATTCAAAACTTGATGTATTCTGTCAGAACCATATGCTGTGCAGGAGTTGACAAATCTCGCCTCGACACACACACACACACACACACACACACACACACACACACACACACACACACACACACACACACATGCATGCATACATTCATAGGTACTCGCAGACAAGACACACATTCGACGCGCACATACACACACACACACACATACGGACACAACGCATCATACACATCAACCGATGACTGGAGGTGCGAGGTGCTCGCTGAAGATGGCGAGAGCACGTTCGAAGGAGGGGCGATCGCTCGGCTCAAATGCCGTGCACATACCCGACAGCTCCACATACCACGCCGGGCACAAACTCTCTACAGTGATGGATGGGTGATGATGTGCACGTGTGCGTCTGTGAGCTTTGGAAAGAAGTGACTACGTCGTCACACAAATTCCTCAAACACACGCACGCACCTACATGAACACAACCCCTCACACACACACACACACACACACACACACACACACACACACACACACACACACACACACACACACACACACACCTGTGAAGCGAAGGCGCTTGCCGTCCTTGAGAAGGGAGTGGAGCTGCAGCAGCAGGCGAGACGGCGGGCCGTCAAAGCCACCGAGTTCTTGCTTGAGGAGATCCGGCTCCTGTTGCATCGCCGTCTCCCACAGCAGCACGCCAAAGCTGAACACATCAGCATGCATCTCATCGTAGTGCACACCGCGCTCACTGGCAAGGGCCTCCGGTGCCATGTATGCGGGTGTGCCGGCTTGAGGCGGCAGGGCTTCCTCTTGTGGCGCAGTGCCACTTGTCGCCGTGGACTTTGTGAAGCACTGGCGGATGCATCCAAAGTCCGTGATCTTCGCCCTCAGCCGCGACGACACAAGCACGTTACCGCCCTTCAGATCCCTGAGAAAGTGCGCGGTGTTGCGTTGTGTGTTTACGTGTGCATGTTTGTCAGTGAGAAAATGTGTGTGTGTGTGTGTGTGCGGTTGTGGTTGTGGTTGTGAACATGAGTGTTCGTGCTTGTGAGAGCAAGCAACAAGTGGCGCACACCCGAACCATCACGGGGTATGAGTGAACCCTTCTGTTGTGTCCTCCCAATTACAACCCACCTATGTGCGATGCCTCGGGAGTGGAGATATGCCATGCCATGGGCCACATCACGCATGAGATTCGCCTTGAGGTCCCACACAGAGCTGTAAGCGACAGAGCCAGCCTCATCCTCGTCGCTGACGACCGCCGCACCGTCAGCGCTCGCCTCAGCAATGCCGTCAAACTTGACAAGCGCGTCTTGCGTGCCGTTGTTCGCACCACCACCACCACCAACACCAATGCCGCTGGCATCGGCATCGTGGCCACGCTGGCGCCGCCGCCTCCTACGCGATTCTTCTTCCAGCAACAGGCGATGGTGATCGAGCACGGAGGCAAGGTCCTTGCGCAGCAGCGTGCCAAGCGATCCGAGAGCAACAAGCTCCAGCACAAGGAAGGGCGCGCCGTGTGTGTCGGTGCCGGCACCAAAGAAGCGAACGACGTTGGGGTGCCGCGTGGTCTGCAGGAACTCAACCTGGGGGATGGGGGTGTGAGTGAGTGGGTGAGTGAGTGAGTGAGTGAGTGAGTGTGTGAGAGTGAGTGAGTGAGTGAGTGAGTGAGTGAGTGAGTGAGTGAGTGAGTGAGTGTGTGAGTGAGTGAGTGTGTGTGTGTGAGCGTGTGTGAGTGAGTAAGTGAGTGAGTGAGTGAGTGAGTGAGTGAGTGAGTGAGTGAGTGTGTCCGTGTGTGTGCATGTGTCCGTGTGTGTGCATGTGTGTGCATGTGTCCGTGTGTGAAGGGAAGTGAGTACGCAGGCAGTACCTGTCCTTCAGCACGCCCTGCTCACCTCATGTTCAAACTCCTGCACCGTCGTCTGGTCAAGCATCATCATGCTGTGCTTGAGGCACTTGACAGCAACAACAACCGAGTCCCACTCCGCCTCCCACACGGCGCCAAAGACGCCCGGCGACGCAGTGTCGATGCGGTGGTGGAAACGCAACTCCGAGAACTCGATGCGCCACCCGCTCTTGAGGGCTGCCACCTGCTCTTTGTGCTCGTCCAGCAGCAGTTTGTTGAGCTGGTTCTCCTCCTCCAGCAGCAGGCGGTATGCGCGACTCCGCTGGTACCGCGCACGAAGCCAGCGAAGGCCCCACGTGAGAAGAGCTCCAAGCAGCAGCGACGACACCACAATGGCTGCGAGCTCGCCCGAGGTGAGACGGTCAGGAACGCAGCGGCCACCACGGCCCAGGCGGTGCCCGCGGCCGCAGCCGCACGCAAACGAATACGCAATCTGCGTGACGACGGCATCGAGATTGGTGGTGGGGCGGGCCTGCGTGTTGCTGAGGGCGAGGGCACATGACAGGGGAGTGCGCTCGAGCGTGAAGATGGGGGCGGTGGTGCGCGTGGGCAGGAGTTGCGTAAAGTCTTCAGCGCGGAAGAGGTCAACGGTGAGCAGCGTCGGGGTGGACACAACGTCCGCAACGACGGCGGGCTGGTCCAGCCAGCCGTTGCCAGAGAGGTCGAGCACGTCCACGCTAGCAAGACAGCGGCGCAGCAGCTCGCGCGTTGTGCCGGGCGACCCAAACTCGTCGCTGAGCAGGTCGCGCGCAAAGAGCATGCGGCTACCGCGGGAAGTGCACAGGGCGGGGTTGGGCGGAAGCTTCGTGTGCGAAATGTCGAGGATCTCAGCAGAGGGCAGACGCAGCTCAGAGAGGCGGGTGCACCCGGTCACGTTGAGCTGGGCTAAGGGCACGTGCACATGCACAGACTCAAGCTGGCGGTTGTCCTGGAAATAGAGCGCACGGAACTGCTTATCCGGGCACAGGCTGATGTGGCGGTACCCCGTGTTGGTGAGCGAGAACTCCTGCACGTCCGAGTGGAGGACGTTGCACACAAACTGCAAGGGCGCTGTGGCCTCGCTCATGTGCCGCCAGCCCATGTGCAGGTTGCGCAGGCGCAGACCGCGGCCCTGCGTCAGGTGCTGGAACTCGCGCGGGAGCGCAATGTTGCGCAGATCGAGCGAGGTGAGGTGCGACGCGTTCCACCCACGGAAGGCAATGAAGTTGACACGCGCAACGGGCGTGGGCATGTCTGGCGCTGCGGCAAATTCAAACACCTGAAGCGACGGGATGAGGAGCCCCTGTGTGAAGTCAGCATCGGCGATGTAGTGGTTGTTGAGCCGCAGCGTGCGCAGGGCAGGCAGCCCCTGCAGCGGCGGCACCTTGCGCAGGCGGTTGCTGGTGAGATCGAGCAGGGTGAGCGCGGGGAGCGACGCAGCCTCGAAGGAGGTGAGGTAGTTGTCGGCAACAAAGAGCCGGTGCAGGTTTGGCGTGTCGGCGAGAACGTCGTTGTCAAGCTTCTGCAGCAGGTTGCCGTTGAGGGTGAGGTGCTTCAGGTTTGGGCAGCCGTGGAACAGGCCGCGTGCCAAGGAGCGCAGCCTGTTCTGTTGCAGGCCAAGGAGGGCAAGGCTGGACTGGTGGTCGAAGAGACCAGACGGCAGCGACTCGATGCTGTTGCGGCTCAGATACAGCTCCTCAAGCTGCGAGAGCGCGCGAAAGGTCATGGGCTCAATGATTTCCAGCTGATTCCCCGTGAGATCCAGACGTAGCAGGCGGGTGAGTGCGGCGAAGGTGTCCTTGTGCACGTGCTTAAGCTGGTTGCGTGTAAGGCGGAGGACTTGGAGGGAGGTGGTGGACGCAAACACGCTCGGCGGGAGGGAGGTGATGCGTGTGCCAACGATGCTGAGGTACGTCACGGAGCGCTGGCTAGCAAATGTGTTGGCGTCTAGCTGCGTTATGGGGTTGCTGTCGAGGAAGAGCACATTCAAGTTGACCAGGGGCTGGAAGACGGAGGAAGGCAGGGACGGGAGTTGGTTGTTGGCCAGGGTGAGGAACGTGAGGGCGGACATGAACGCGAAAGCGCCCTGTTGGATGCTGGCCAGCTGGTTGCTGGCAAGATCGAGCCACTCCAGATTTGTCAAGGACATCAGGGCATGCTGGGAGAGGGAGGTGAGGTCGTTCTGGCCCACGTTCAAGACGCGCAGCGCCCTCAGGTTGTTGACGCCGGACCGGTCGAGTGATGCAATGTGGTTGCGGCTGATATCCAGCGTTTCCAGCTGGGCTGAGCGTGCAAATGGGTGAGCAGAGAACTGGCTGATGGTGTTGCCTGTGATGTTCGCGTGCAGCAGAGCCGGGAGCGGGTTGAGCCAGGCCAGCTGAAACGTGTTGCCAACAATGCCGGCGATGGTGATGGTGTGGGCGTCTTCCCACGCTGCGCCCTCCAGGACCCAGGTCAAGTCGGAAGGGAGGATGGTGCCTTGCATCTGCAGCGTTGTTGGGCGCATGTGGGTCGCAAGCTGGCGCAGGTTCTGCGTTGATGCGGTTGCAGGATTGGAGACAATTGGCTCGGGGTTTACTGGGCTTGCGTCAAACTGGATCCTGAGCGTGTTTGCACCGAGTGGTGGTGTGCAATTGCCTTGGAGCAACGCCGTCAGCATGCACAACGGGGGACCACCGCCTGGAGGTGGCGTGGGCACTGGCTCATACGCACCGGTTGTTGTGGCAGTTGCTGTGGCAGTGGTTGCAAGCGTCGTCGAAGACGACACTGGATCTTCTCTGCGCACTCGTTGTTGTTGTTGTTGTTGTTGTTGTTGTTGTTGTTGTTGTACTCGTTGTTGTTGTTGTACTCGTCGTTGTTGTTGTTGTTGTTGTTGTGGTTGTTGTTGTTCCTGTGGCATTTGGATCGGGGGCTGGGGAGGGCCACAGAGGGTCCAAACAGCCACGCGCAGTGGATCATCAGAGGCACCAAAAGCAAGCTCATCAATCACCGGAGCTGCCAGCATGGACGGCGAACTCGGAGAGGTCGTGGCAGCAACATGGGCACGCAGGCTCTCGGTGTTGTCTTCTTGGTGTTGGTGTTGGTGGTGTTGCGCGCGCTGTGCGAGTGCTTCCCACGCCTGAGCACAGTACTCAGAGGAAGCAGTTGGTGCTGGTGCTTGTGCGCCACCCTGTGTTTCCGGCATGGGTGGGGAGGCACAACAGTGGCTCCATCCATCAGGTCCCACGGCCACCACTGCCAACACAAACACAAACAACGCTGTGGGTTGTGGGTGCCTCTTCAGCATCGTCATCATCGTTGTTGCGCACTCAAGCAGGAGTGGCGAAGAGTGACGAAATCTTGCGATAATTCTCCGCGATGACGTGGTTGTTGTTGTGTGTGTGTGTGTGTGTGTGCGTGTGTGTGTGAACAACGCGCATTCGCTGTGTATCATTTTCATTTCGTTTGTTTACTTTTCGTTTGTGTACTCGTGGCTGAAAACGAATAAACCTATCAAACATGACGGAAGAAGCGTTGACTCCGAGATCACATCGCATCATACTGTCACAGTACCACATCATCGTGCTCAAACAGTTTGCACACCATCACTGCCACTACTGGATTGCTGACGCGCCTTTGTCTTGCGAACGACAACAAGCGCGACCACAGCAGCGACAACGACGACCAGGACGCCAACGACGATGCCGGCAACTGCGCCGCCGGAGAGAGCACTGCTCGACGACGAAGCAGAGGGGCCGCCCTGGCCACCACCACGCCCATCCCCCGACGTGGTGGTGCTTGCCAGCATTGTTGTTGTCGTCCGCGTGCGCGGCGTGGTGACGGGCTTGCCGAAGAAGTCGCCGTGGTCAACCGTGGTGCGTGGCGGGGACGGGTACCGAGGCTTGGTAGCATAAGCGTTTGTCGTCGTCGTTGGGGGCCTGTATGGGCGCGTGGTTGTCGTGGTTGGCGGCCGATGAGTTGTCGTGTATGCGGGCGTTGGCGGTGGCGTCTTGCTTGTTGTCGTTGATCGTGTGTAAGGGCGTGGCGGTGTTGGCGATGACGGGCTGCTTGGCGTGTACGCAGTTGTAGAGCCTGCACACTCCTCCGTCCACGTGCATTCCGAGTTGTACGCGCACGCTGCCTCGTCCTGTATGTGTGTGTGTGTGTGTGGATGAGTAAGTGTGTGTGTGTGTGTGTGTGTGTATGTGTGTGTGTTTGGGCGAGAGAGTGTGGGAGAGAGAGAGAGAGAGTGTGTGTGTGTGTGTGCGAGTGGGTGGGTGGATGAGTAAGTGAGAGTGTGTGTGCGAGTATGTGTGAAAAGGAACATGTTGAAAGGCAGCAGCATGCCAAAGTGTAGTGATGCATACACACGTTCACTTCATACATACATTCATACGCACATAGCACACAACACACCCAACTCTCGCACTCTCGCACACATTGCACACACTTGGACCCGCATGTACCGTGATGTAGGAGCAGTGGTGGGGTTCAGGGCGGCAGAAGCCAGTGTAGTCCCAAACACAGCCGTCGTGTGCCTCACACTGCGCCTGATACGCGTAGTCGCACGACACGGGATAGGTGGGCTCACACCTGCCAGCTGCCTCGCACGCCGCCGTCGTCGTGGTGGTCGTGGTGGTGGTCGTGGTGGTCGTCGTCATGGTGGTGGTGGTGGTGGTTGTCGTTGTGGGGCAGTCCTCAACCACCATGCAGTGTTCATAATACACACATGAGTCAACCTAGACGTGATGGCAGAAGAAAGGTGGGTTAAGATGGTGTGAGCAGCAGCAATTCAAGGCCTGCGTATCTCGCAGGACGACTGACGGCTGTTTACACACGCACACACGTACACGCACACGCACACACACCAACATACACACACACTTGCCCATGCACGCACCGGTCTGTTGCTACAGCCCATGTCCACCTCGACGCAGGTGCTGGTGTAATCCCATTCGCATGCAGCCTCCGCCTGACACTCCTGCGGGCTATACAGCTGCGAGCATGGCTTGGGCCTGTCCACGCACGTGGATGTGCAGGTTGTGGTTGTGGCTGTTGTGGTAGCAGTGGTGGTCGCCGTAGTGGTAGCTGTTGTCGTTGCTGTTGTGGTCGCAGTGCTTGTGGCTGTTGTGGGACAGATGGCGGAAAGGGAGAGGGACAAGCAGCAAGGCGAAACAGTCTAGATTGGCAGCTGGTGGTCTCGGGCAAAAGGCGATACGCGGCCTTTGCGGAACGACAGGACGGCAACGAAAACAGCGAGAATAATTACAAGGCCGGCGACAGCAGCAGTCAGTGGCAGCATCAGTTCCACAAGGAGCCCGCCAGCCGTGTCGGTGATCACCACCTCTGATGTGGATGAAGACGCGGTGGACGTCAAGGGGGATGACTGATCAGCGCCGACAGAGCTCAAAGCAGGCGACAAGGAAAAGCCTGTTGTTGTTGTTGTCGTCGTCGTCGTGGTCGTAGAAGTGGTGGTGGTGGTGGTCGTTGTTGTTGTTGTTGTTGTTGTTGTTGTTGTTGTTGTTGTTGTTGTTGTTGTTGTTGTTGTTGTTGTTGTTGTTGTTGT